ACATTATACTGTTTTGTATTTTTTAACAATCCAACTTTTATCATTTTCTTAAACGTACACAACGATCCTGCAGTTTTTACATCACTCCCCAAGTTATTCCATAGTTTTATTCCTTGAATTAAAGTACACTGTTCCTTCAAACTAGTTCTGATTTTGGGTTTTTACAAATATCTCTGTCCCTTTAAGATTATAACAACTCTTTCTCTTAACAAAATTTACTTTAGTTAGCCACTTCAGTTTAGGAATGGCAGCGGAGAACGTGAATGAAGCCATTCAGTCTGTGTTGATTCTTAAATTTGTGTCGCAAAACCTGCGGCATTCATTTACAGCCGACTCATTCAGCTCGGTACTTTTCTCTTCCCAGTAGGGTATGGTTGTTTACAACGCACGCCGTTTCCAGTAAACTTCTTAGGATAGCTTCCTTCACAGTTGAGCTGGTGCACGTCATGGTCAAATGTTAGCAATTGGGTAAAATCAGATCAAATTTTTTAAAACGTCAACAGAGTCCACACCTCCAGAAAGCAACTGTTTCTCAGTAGCTGAGGGTCCAGACCTTCTGTACAGAGCAAAGCGTAGAACAAGGGGCTGTGTGGGATCAGCTCAGTGTCGACTCAGTGCCAAATGGTTGTGTATTAAGGATCAGTTCCAACARCTGTGGGTTGACCAGCAACAGAACAGGATCCATCATCTTTGGGACTTTGATCTAGACTGAAACTCTACTTGTGTCCAAGCCTGAGGGGGTACCACGCCCTGCTAACATGGGACCAGCAGTTGCCCTTGAAAACCAACTTTATTATCCATTTGATCTACAACTACACAACCTTTCAACAAGTACAGTTTCATTTACTTTTCACCAGTCCATCTGTTTTTTTTAACATCAGCGAGTGCATGAGTACAGCACAGCTCTAATCCCATGTTTCCTGGCATTTTGGACAGTCACTCAACTGAATAGCTTTTTTAAAAAAACTATAATATAATGTTTCTCACAGCTTCAGTTAGATGTGTCCACACTATGAACAGGGTGGATATACTGAACACAAATCTGCCATTTTTGTGAGCTTTAACCTTAAATCCAGTGAACTAGGTTCATGATTAAGGTCAGAGTTTTCTTATTTACAGTCAATGTTATGCTCTGTGTTTTTTGAGCTTTCATTTTTTAGTTTTGTTTCTGGTTTACTGGTATGTTTGCTTTCTTCAGCCCCCTCTGTGCAAATGAAAATCAGTTTATTTATTTATTTATTTGCTATTTGTTGGGTGTTGATTTTTTTTGAATATTTTAATTTCCCTTTTCCAGCAGCACCTCTTTTGGTGTTCAAAATAATGTTTTATAGTTTAATTATCCACATACCCACGCATTTACACATTTTATACTTTCTTTCACTATAGATTATGACAGCATGTTGCCAACACAATTCATACAACTCAACAAGAATACTATAGCTGTGGAAAGCAGTGTCTAAACTGAATCTGTTGAACTCCTGCTTAATAAAAACTACTAACTTCTTTAATTGTTTTTTACTTAACCTGCTTTCATTGACCTGCAAATAGAAAACATACATTTGCTTTTCTTGGCTCAGGTGCCATGTAAACAGTCAGGCTCTGCTTCTACAAACAGAAATTTTATGTAAAGAGTAGATGGTTTCAGATTTTTAGTTTGACGTTTGTTCTTTAACTCTCCTGAAAGAAGACAAATTAGCTCCTGTTGTGTGTTAATGAAGCTGGCTTGTTTAAGGAATGTTAGATTGATAGAAAGAAATGCACATCTGAGCAATCAAATATGTTTTTTTTTGTCACAGCACAAGATATCCAAGAAAGATAAACATTTTATTTGGCATCAGTGTTGTATTTGCAATCACTGCAAGAAAATCACACAGAAAGCCACTTCCATGTCTTCCGTGTCGTTCTTCGGCATTGATTTCAACAAGGTCCTTATTAGAAGTTTTAAAAGGGGTTGGTTGAAAGTCACAGGTTATTGAATTTAACATTAGATCTGATCACATCTGTTTTCATAGTACGATACGTTTTTATTACCACTTACAACCTTTTTTGCTCTATGTTTATTGGGATAAGTGAGGCATTAACGGTGTCAACAGAAAAGATGAAGTTCATCAACAAGTCAGCACTGACCATAGATGCTGGAGGGTTGGAGTGAAGAATCAATTCCAAAACATGAAATTGGTGTAAGCACAGGCAGTTTTCACTTTCCTCTTTGTTCTAGTTAGTCATTAACAGTATTTGTTTAAGATCGGAAAAGTATAGTTAGACAAGTGCAGTATATATATATTCACTGTTAATGTTTTATTTTATTGCAGAAAGCTTTTGTTCTTTTGGTACATTTTCCAACTTTCCATTCAATATGTTTCAATGTCTGTGACTTTATCAGCTCGGCAATTTTAAGACAAAAAAATCCTATATTTGGGGACAACTGGGGCATTTGGGGACAAAAGTCAAGTTCCCATTTGGTTTAAATGCCATTGGTGGGTTGGGGGTTGGGTTTAGGACGTGTGTTGCAATAATAAATAGAACTGAAAATGAGTTGAGGTAATCTGTGCTGCAAAACCAAYGGCAGGCAACTGACCCCCTGTGAGAAAGAGCTACTTAATATATTGCTGATAAAAAATATTACAATGTTTATTTAACTGGGATGTTGTTTGTTAYCATAGTTTGATATGAATAAGTTCAGGTTGTGGTACACAACCATGTTTTTTGACTTGTTCATTTTGTCAGCACAGAAGACTGTGAGGTTACCCTCATATTGCAAATATCAAAAATTGCAGAACTTTCCCTGTATTTTTTATTTTATTTTATTTTAGAATCATCACATTTATAGTGTAGTTTTGCTTTTGGTTCATTCCCCTTTCTCATTTTTCATGTATCCATGTTTAAAATAAACAAAGAAACTCACTAAATCTACAACAAAGTCCATTGGATCAGTGACATATCTCATGTAAGATACATTTCATCTTGCTGTAGGTGCCTGCATTTAATCTTGCAATAGATTAAATGTTAAGCAGGAAATGAACTTTGGAGTTTAATTTGAAACCCAATATTTTCTAAGGATACATGAAAAAAAAAAACTAAAGCAGCTTAGACTTTTTACCATGTGTTAAGTACAGTGGAGTTTGTGCAGAGGGTGGTTTC